AAAATGCATTTTATTTTTCCCTAAATTCTGTGTTTTCCATTTGATTTCTTATGGATTCCGTGTTTTATGATTCAGTACAAATTTATCATAAAGAATGGTATCTAGTGAAATGAATTAATAAAACATTAGCAATTTAATCAATCTTTTAAAATGTAATCAAATTAAAATCAATTTACAACAAAACATTGCATTTTATTTATTTTATTTTTATCAGACATGATGCTGCACAACAGAACTGTATAAATTAATAATAATAAAAAATAACTTGGTTGTATGATATTCCTTAAAAATAATAATATTATTATTACTTTGAGAATTGCATTGTAGTATACAGTAGTAATATATTCTGTCATATAATTTCAAGTTAAACCGGACTTTTATTTTGACGGTTTGTCGTGAAGGTCTTTCAGTTAGTTTTAGTTTCAGCGTGTATTTTAAGGTATTTTTTCTGAAATGAAACGGCATAAAGCTGGTGAAGTGACTCTCAGAGCAGCTCTGAAGATGAAGTGCATGTGTTCATGTCCTCATATATTGAGACGCAGATGCTAAAAACACAGCGAGTCACGTGTGTTTGAGTTTGTGTATCAGAAGAAACTACTCCACGCATTCACACAGACACACAGAACATGCAGACTTATTAGCGACATGCACTGACTGGTAGTGATGCAAAGTCCGATTCATTTCCGCGAATCGGTACTTTTTCGAACAGATCGGTTCATTGAACTGGTTCAAAAAGCCGATTCATCGGTTCCTGACGTCATCAAGCAATAACGTCTCTACGTATTTCTTTTCTAACAACTCAGTGCCATGTTGTATCAGTGAAAAATTCAAATAATCATTTGTGTCAACGTATATTGAAACATTCAAAAATAAAGTTATCTGTGTGAAAGCATATTGCTGATTATTACCATATAATTCACTTAAGTTAATGGTGTTTGTGGTCACAGTTTCATTCGCGGATCCTCAGATACCACTGACTGACCAATATTGACTAGCCTACAACTCGGATAAGATTCCTAAAAGTTTCAAACCTACAGCACACATTACAGACACTGATGCACAAA